CCTGGGCTGGAGTGATGACTCAGCAGTTAAGAGACCTTGCTGCTGAGGACCAGGGTTTGGTTCCCAGCACCCTCATGGCAGCTCCCAACCATCTGTAGTTCCACTTTGGCAAAATCTGACACCCTCTCCTGGCCTCTGAAAGTTCTTCTATGCCACAGTGACCCTAAACTCACACAGACACACATACATATCAATAAAAAAGAAATCTCAAAGAAATGGGATTAGAAGGCTTTGAAGAGATGAACACAGTGACAAAGTGTCAAGAGACCCTGAGCCAGTAGAGACCCTCCAGGCGCCCATCAATGACTTTCAGAGAAGGAAGCACATGGTAGTTCAAAAGAGACAAGAGTGATGGAAGCTGTTTGTGAATGGCCTCACAATATGCAAGTGGGGGACATTTTCCAACATGTAAATCTGTTCCCTCTCCCTTCTCAAATGGCAAGACAACAATAATAATAACATTAGAAGTGTTGTGTGGGACAGGATAACTTTAGCATTTACTCACCAAGCCGGATGGAAAATTCATAAAACCGTTTCAGTCTCACGACCAGGGGGCAGACTGCATTCCAAGCCTTTTCTTGAAGTTGAATGTCATTGGGATTTTGAATTGCCTACAGGAGAAAAAGGGGGTGACAATGAGTTTCCAATTTAAGAAAACTAGTTATCTCACACCAAAGTAGCCTGAATAATTTAGTTTTTAAAACGATGCAAGCCCTAGTGTGCTTGGAGAATTAGAACCACCTAGGTTGACAATGATTATCTGAACTATTGATTCCCCAAAGGACTAATTTCTGAAGGGAGTTTCAACACATGAGCATAAAGCTAATGGGTCCCAGGTAGATCTTGCCTAATCTCACTTGCTGCTGTGTTCTTTCATTAAAAACAAACAAAACAAAACATCAGAATTGGAAGACTTGGCTCTGTTCATTAGCACTTGATTCATCTAACGACGGCTCATTATGAAGAATGGAGACTGTAGCTATTACGTCTTTTCTGTGATACACATTGTGTTCTTGCCAGACCTTGAAGAAGAAACGCCACATCTTAATAGACTTTTCCTCAGTAGCATCCTGACGGTGGTATGTTCTCATGAGGGGCGTGTGTGTGTGTGTGTGTGTGTGTGTGTGTGTGTGTGTGTGTATGAGTGTGTGTGTAAGGTTTTTCCTTCTTCTCTCAGGGTTTAGTCAACTTAGTATTGTCATTGGCTTACATCTCGGATCTCTGGTCCTGCGCCTTTGTAAGCCTGCAGGTCTGTGAGGATGCTCTCAGAATCCTGGAGGACAGCACTGATCTGGTTCCATATCTCTCGCTCTCCTTCTGTTGGCTGAGCATCTAAGTGAGACAGAAACCAAGAGAAACTGAGGCTTGTGTTTCCCAAGAAATCTCAAAGTCCATAAACAGTTAGTTCCACCAGCTAAGCAGCCCTGTCTTTTCCTCCAGCTTTGGAAGTTACTCTGTAACTTTACAAGCTGTTAGGTAAGGAAGATGAACATAGCTTCTGCCCATGACTTAGTTCAAAGCACCCAACAACCTTTTTGTACATATTAAGCCTAGTATGATCAAATTGGCCTAAGTGTTCATTTGTTAATTTATTTATATAAAAACATTTTCATATACATTATGTGTATTGGGTAATATTACATTGAGTAACAGGAGGAGTAAATACTTTTGGGGGAGCCAACTTGTTTTTAATGACCCTTTCATTGTGTTTATTCTTCCTTAAAGCTATCACTTTCACTGTGGCCAAAATACATAACATATAAAGTACCACCTTAGCCATTTTCAAGTGTGGAGAGCAACATTACTGATAAACATATGAGTCCTCCCCTCATGATGCTCCATAGCTCCCTTGATCTTGAAAAGCCAAAATATTGTATAGAGTATAGTTTTTAATAGACTATGAGCTATTTCCATCACTGAAAACTTGCAGACTTGAATATATAGATGAAAAAAGCCCCTCTTATACATATCTCTTTTATTTTACATACTTACACTATTTTACATATATTCATATTATCATATATATTTATATACACTAATCAACTTTAAAATGCACTTAATTTGAGACTGGGCTGATGACTCAGCAGGTAAAGGCACTTGCTGCCAAGCCTGAGGGCCTGAGTTTGATGCACAGGACCCACCTAGTGGAAAAAGAGAACCAACTCCTGAAAGTTATCCTATGATTTCCACATGTGTGTCATGGCATACCCTCTTCCCGATAAATGAATGTAATTAAAAACAAAAAAAGGACTTGGGTAATTAACCCTTGAGGGCATGGCAGCAGCACATCATTCCAGAACAGTGACATACAGGAAGCACCAAAACATCCCATACACATAAACACCCTGTCTAAGACCCGATAGGTAGAGTCTTCTGGGACTTCATCAGTGTATGGAAACATTCTTAGAGAAGAAAGTTCATGAGAGTGGGAGAGGCCCCTCTGGAAGAAGAAAGGAGTCAACAGGGGTAGGAAGTACACACAAAAGTTTCTCAGCAAAGACACACAGGGAGTTCATTGTCAAAATGTCTGTCTTGACTGTGTTAGCTGCAGAAGTGTGTGATGTGTAAGTTCACATATATGAAGGCAGCATACTGATAGCCACAAAGTGCTGTCTAAGCTCTCCGGCATCTCTACAACCTTTGCAGTGTCCTTCGTGGAGACCCATAGTTGAGAAACATGGGCTTTTACTGCCCTCAAAATTGCTATGAATCAGGCTAGTTTCTCACTGTAAAATGATGCCAGTGCTGAGGGAGAGAGGGACAGGTCTTGTTTCCAGGTATTGAAATCCTGAGATGAGGGATGCTGTCAGCAACTTAACTAACAGAGCAACAAGGACAGAGTTGTATGAAGTCTGACACTACCCTGCCCCAACCCCAATTTTATCTAATCTTCCCACAATACAAAGGGCAGATGCTCCAAAAGTGTGATGTGTTTTCATCACTTGTGAGACTCTGGGGTGTCATAGATGGATTCACAAGATAGGTAAAGCAAGTGCTAGCTGAGTGCATTAGCAGACTGGGCATCAAGATAGTTGATAGCCAGAGAAGGCCAGAGAAGCTCTTGTCAAACTTCTGCGTGACATCAGCAGCAAGTTTTGGACTAGTTTATTCACCAGGTACTGCTAAAGACAAAGAAACTGGTAGTTTCCAAGGAAATTTCAAAAGAAAAAAAAAAAAGAAAAAAGGAAGTCCATAAATGTAGGAAGGTGCTAGTTGGGAAGGAAGGGGGGAGGTGTAATGGGAGTGGGAGAGGAATAAAAAAGGGTTGGGCTGGAGAGATGAATCAGAGGTTAAGAGCATTGACAGCTCTTTCAGAGGTCCTGAGTTCAATTCCCAGCAACCACATGGTGACTCACAACCATCTGTAATGGGATCTGGTGTCCTCTTCTGACATTCAGGCCAAACACAGCATTACATAATAAATAAATCTTAGAAAAAAAAGGATAATAGAGGTGAATATGATCATAATACACTATGTATATGTGACACTGACAAATTAAAAGAGAGATAATATCTAAAAAGAAGACAGAAAATTATAGACTCTCAGGATTTCTGGACACTGGGAAAAAATGTTTTCTAGAAATGATACAATGTCAACTAGGGGATAAGGTTCGTGTAAGTCAGGGGTTAGGAAACGAATGTGGTTTGGAAGGCGTTGGAGGAGTCAGGTGTAGAGAATGGGAATGGAGATGGGAGATAGAAGGAGGTATATACACAAGAAGGGAACAGAGTGGCAAGGGCAAGGTGGCTGCATGGAGCACAGCTAGGTCAGCATGGCAAAGAGATGTCTGGAGAGAGATCAGGGGCTGACCTGGGGCAATGAAGGGGAAAGCACAGCCAATTCCTCCTCTCTCCCTGAATCCTTTGTACCCCACAGACACTGGGTAAATATTATCAGATCTGAGGTTTCTCACAATATGAATCACTTCACAGATTATCCCTTCTTGTTTCTCAAAGGTTATCCATTCTTTCATAAAAAGAAGCCTGCACATCCAGGAGCTGGGAAGCCAGCTCATGGTACTGCAGAGAGTACCTCCAGTGAAAATCCAAGGGAGGAGTTGGGAGTTTCTGAATTGCAAAGCAAATAAAAATGAGGCACTCAGGAGCTGGAGAGATGTCTCAGTGGTTAAGAGCAATGGCTGCTCTTCTAGAGGGCATGGGTTCGACTCGCAGCACCCACACAGTGGCTAATTATCATCTGTAACTATAGTTCCAAGGGATCTGATGCCCTCCTCTGCTTTCCTGAGGCATGAGGTACACACACGGCACACAGACATACATGTAGTTTAAATACCCGTACACATGAATTAAAACAACAACAATAAAAAACACATTAAAAAAGCCCTCACTCAAATCCAGGAACACACCGTTTATAAGATAGAAAATTTCCAGATAAGGTATTTAGAGAAGAGACAAGCAAAGTAGAGAGTATGTCCAATCTGAGGGTTCAGAGTTATACAACTGTGAAAGAGGGTTGGTTTCCTTGGGAGGAGAAGAGATGTGTCCAATCTCTGTCTTGTAGTGGTCCCATACTAACAAGTCAGTAAGGAGCAATATGGTATGAAATAGAATTAAAACTAAATGGGCTATCAGAGTACAGACAAAATCCAAACGGCACCCTGTTGTTGACCACAGAGTACAAAAGGAGAAAGCTTTCACACCACTTGGTAGAAAATAGAGCAACTTAAGTACTTTGAAAATAAACATATTACAGGGTAGCCTCAAGGTGGTCCTGCAGCTGGGGACAGCCAGCTCCTTTCTCCATGGCAGGTGAAGTGACACTTTCTTATATAAACTGACATGCACATTCTTTTGACCACAAAGAGTTTTCATGAATGGCTTGTGGGTGTGGTATCCTTTCTGTGCCACAAGAGGTGGACTTGGGGTACAGGGTGAACATTTTCTACTTGATAGAGCTGTTTTCCTAGCTGTTAGATGTATAAAACAGGACCTGCAGTCCCCAGCCTCCTTCTCTGGGAAACTGTTTCCTTTGGCAGATGTCCTGCCCATCAGGAATGTTTGCAGCTTAGTCATGTTTAGGGGGTGGGGTGCAGAAACCTAATCCATCACTTCCTCTTCCATCAAGGCTTAGACATGCATTGGCTCATTTTCTGCCATAAATTTTTAGTCTCGTGGGATACCTGATTTCTCCCACCTTTCCTGTGATGGAATTGAAGTCAGTTTCTCTCTCAGCAACAGTTAGGCCCCTCATGCCAGCAAACAGACTACTATGCCATCTAAGCTGGAAGGTGAAGGTTTACAAGGGACTCAAATCACCAGTGGTACCAGCTTTCCCAGTACAGAGTGACAACTGAGAGACTCTAATCTTCAAACTTTTGACAATGTTGTTGTCACCTGCAAATGTGTCGCATTACACTTATAGTTATCCTGGGATGTGTATGGAGCAGGCTGCATGTTGGATGTGTCTTTCCTAGTGTCTATCTCATTATGCAAGTGGAAAAGGATTGTGTAATTCCGAGTGACATTTAACATTGTCCCAAATCCATATGGAATCCAATGATTCATCCCACAGTAAAAAAACAAAACAAAACAAATTAATAAGAATTTTATCCACTAAACATAGGGCTCTGACCTTATTTGTTTCGTTTGATTACATATTTTCAGTGACTGGTTAGTATATAGTATATGCTCAAGGAAAATGTGCTAGACAGATAGTTGAAGGAATGATTTATATATATGCTTTTCACATGTTTTAGGATTTTTATTTTGAGACAGGATCTCACGTGTTTCAGCCTAGCCTTGAACTCATTGTATATTCTACTGATTGTCCTGAATTTCTGATCATCGTACTTCTGCTTCCCAAGGGCTAGGAATTCAGGTGTATGCTACAAACCTGGCCATGCTGGGGATGGAACCCAGTGCTTCAGGGATGCTAGGCAAGCATTCTACTAACTGTACTACATCCCTAGCCTCTTTTGGGGATGCTTGTCTTTGAGTCCTGAGCTCTTTGGATACAGAGATTACACACTCAGATACAGTACTCTTATGATATCACATTTAATGGAGATACTCAATAGCAATGGGGGAAACTGAATTCCATGGGGAATCTGCCAGGAGGAGGGATGTGGGTGCTAGGAGGTGGTGTGATAAACAAAGTTTCCATCCCCCCATTCTGTTCTGTTTCCTCTCCATAAATAGCTTATACACTGTTATGTATCTGCCACTAAGATATCCACATTCACCTGTGACCAAACTGACTCTTCTCTTCATCAACATGTGTGCTTAACTCTCCCATTGCTCAGGGAGATTTGTTGCTGGCATTCTCTCTGGGAGAATGCAAAACTGCCCAAGGTCTTCCCTTCCAGTCCTGT